AATGTTAGAATGATGATGAGCTGAATCAGAACAAGTATAAGCACAGAACAAGCACATAGACACTGTGGAACCTACGTGGACCACTGAGGATTACACACATATAAGAGCACATGGGAATAGAAAAGAAAGTACCGTATTTTTCGGACTATAAGATGCAGTTTTTTTTTCATAGTTTGGGTGTTTCGTGCGACTGATATATTAAAATGTTCACACTGAAGCGGTGAGAGGTTCTAGTCTTGTGTGTGAGTATCTGCTGCTCCTGTTCCTCCTGTACCACTGTCACTTCACTCTACTGCACATGTCTCCTGCAGAAAGAGCCTCTGTCCTGTCTGTATCATGTCAGTCGATCGCACCGTTACTTCTGCACCACAGTCTGTTGTTCTCTCTTCTACTGTTATTACTAGAACTTGACTTTAATTTTATAAAATACATTTCCCCTAAAAAGTGCGACTTATATATATAGGGTTGTCCCGATCCAATCACGTGATAGGAAATTGACACCGATCACGTGACTGCGACTCAATCCGGACGTTATGTGCAGGAGGACACAACACAGGACACAACTGTTTTTCTGAGGCACGAGATTTGCTCAGGGACGTCCAGTCAGAGGTGCACTTACACTGGGACTTTGGGCTGTGTCGTGCTCGGGCGCTGTTCCCTGTGGTTCTGTGGCCCATGTTCACACCTGTACAGCCCATGGCGTTGCACGGCGATGTTTGTTGCAAATAAAACAAACAGCACTGTTGCGCAGTGGAGCTTGCGCTTTTGGCAGAGAGGGTCCGTCCAGCGGCATGAACTGTTTATTGAGCATTGGGACGGATGTTGCAGTGCTCGCTCTGCAGTGGGTTTGTGGATGTGGCAGTGCGGAGGAGTCGGGGCGGCCGGGGGAGAGAGGCTGTGGGGCTTCTGTCATCTCGTTTTTATTTGGTAAGATTTTGTATTATTTGGATTTCATAGATGAGCCTAAATGTTTCAAATGTAAAGCACATGCAAACATATAATATCAAATATACAAAGTGTAGATTGTGCAGAGTCGAGTCTCAGGTCTGATCTGGTTCTGGTCTGGTTCCTGTTTTGTTCAGTTCATTAAGTTTACTAAGTTACACATTCAAAGACCAGACTGTGAAAAGTCAAGATTTTCAACAATGATGGTGAACGATGGTTAGAAAAGTTAATAAAAAAAAAATTGGACATTTGATTTTTTTCACAAGTTCAGCCCAAATACTACACATTGAAATCAACACAATCTGATCCCGCGCACATCCTTAGTTCATTTTATAATGTTTTATAGAAGTATCAGATCGGGACTCTGTATCGGCAGGTACTCAAAATCAAAGGACTCAGACTCGGGGTCAAAAAAATGTGATCGGGACATCCCTACTTATTTATGTTTTTTCTTCTTCATTATGCATTTTTTGGCTGGTGCGGCCGAAAAATACAGTATTACGATTTAATGTTGGAAATCACATTCTATTGTCTAAATAAAACCAGTTTTTATAATCATAGTGGTATCGGAATTGGTACCGAAATCACGTTTGAAATTTTAGTATCATGTCAACATTGTTACCAGGCAAAGTACTAACATCTTCATAGAAACAAGCTGTCTTTCTTTCAGTCCAACCCTCCTCCAGAGAAGCTAAAAACTGCATCTTTAAGGAATTTGTACATTTTGCAGTTTGAAAAATACAGAACCAAATCACTCTCCTTTTGAAAAACTGGTTTGGTTGTCAGCAGACCCATAGAAATGCTGTATCTCCTGTCTTCCGTCTGAGCTCGTAGCAGACGCCGTCCCTCCCCTCGCCCGCCCGCCCGCCTCGCATGGTCCTATATTTAAATGTAATGAGATTTGGGTTGGCTTTAAACAGATGGAGCCAGTCTACCATTCTTTACTGTGGCCTCTGCGTCACCTTTTAGCTCACACTCCAGCGCATTCACCATTTGAACCCCGCGGGCCCGGAGCAGAGGTGGGAGTTAGTCATGTGTTGGAGCTCCAGATGTTTCCTCAGTGCGTCGGCCTGAGCTGGGGTCTGACGGAGCCGTACGAAGGACAAATTTGCGCTTTGATTTCAAGTTAATTTAGTTTAGAGATGTTCTGAAGTCCAGCTGGTGTGGCGGGATGTGGGGATAAGGTTGCAGATTCCTGGTTTAAGCATGGTTTAGTCCTGTTTTTGGTCTGGGTCAGTCTCTGTCCTTATCCTTGTCCTTGGTTTTGGGCACCTTGAAATGTCTGAATTACAGGTTTAGTTTTGTTTTTGTTAGCCATTGCTACTCCTTTTGTTTCCAGTTCTTAAGTGATTCTTGCTTTACAATACTGACAGTTTCATACATTTCCATTGAAAAAGAAAATGAAACATCAGTTTGAATCGTGTATCATTCGTTCATTCGTTTTTCAATATAAAACCAAAAACAATGAATAGAATAATGAAAAATGGAAAAAACGGATAACGACCGTTTCCCGTTTCCGTGACTGCGATGCCGGAGTTTTGCACCGCGGACGGACTGAACCAAGACTGATCCAGGTCCAAGACCAGACTGGGACCAGAGCGGGACTGAGACCGGGACCAGACCGGGACCAGACCGGGACCAGCGGTCCGAGCGGTTCCGTGTCATCGCCTGCACGCTGGTTCGTGCAGGGAAAGCGAGAATGCGCTGTGGACTCCAGGTCCGGACGGGCTGCTCCGGTCCTCCACGCTCAAGAACCGTGGCTGGTTCCGAGGTGGTGCAAAGCATCCAGCTGACGCGTTCACACCAACGAAAACGAACTGAACTAAGAGCTTTTGGTTCAAATATACCAGGTCTGGGACCAGACCGGGACAGAGCGCTACTGAGACTGGGACCAGAGCGGGACCAGAGCGGGCCTGAGATCGAGACAAGACCAGGACCAGAGTGGGCCTGAGACAGAGACAAGACCAGGACCAGAGCGGGACCAGACCGGAGGCTCAGAGCCCACGGCAGGGCTGGAGCTCGAAGCTGAGGCTCGGACCCTGCGGAGGCTCAGAGTCAAAGCTCAGAGTCGCCCTGGTCCCACTGTGGTTCTGGTCTGGTCCTGGACCTGGATCAGTCCTGGTTCAGTCCGTATGCGGTGCAAAAGTCTGGCATCGCAGTCACGTAAACGGGAAACGGTCGTTATCTGTTTTTTCCATTCATCATTTAAACACAAAATCGAAAACTGAAAAAACAAATCGTTATCCGTTTTTTCATTTTGGTTTTGGAGACAAATAACGAAGAAAACTGTTGTTTTTTCGTTTTCTTATTTTTGGTTTTATATTGAAAAACGAATGAACGAATGACACACGGATTAGTTTGTGTCATGTATTTGTAGTTGGACAGCTACATGACTTTGTATAAATAACCAGGTTTCGACCTTGTTTCGATTTGGGATACACGATCCAGCTTTTCTTTTCTGATACCAATTCTAATTCTACGGCTTTAAGTGTCTGCCCATACCTATTAACCGCACCTAGACTGAACAGCATTTAATCCCTCAAAACAAAAATAAAATAAGACAAAACTGATCCAAAATGTGTTATATGTGGCTGTTATTTATCTCTCATGTAACTACAGAAATACAAACTTTCTGACCCAACAACAACCAGTTAATTGTCTTATTACGTGAATTTATATTATTATTATTATTATTATTATTATTATTATTATTATTATTATTATTTAAAAGATACCTAGGCCATGATGTTTAATAATGTGGACATTACAGCCGTGCTAAATATCCAGTGTGGCTTATGGAATGTTGAGAGGAGCCTCACATTCTATTGAGGTTCTTGGCCTGTTGATGGGAATAAAATCATCACAGATCCATTGATTTTGGTTGGATTTTTATTTATTTTTTTCTGTGGAATGAGTATACAGTTTGGTGAAAAGAATGGCATATTGGCTGATGTCAAAACTTGGAGGAATAGTTGATTGCCAATGAGGTAAAGATGAAAATATTGGAAAAAAGTGAAAAAACGCCTCTTTTTTTTGCGTTAAATTGAGCCAAAGTCATGTAGAAATTTGTTTTAAGAATTATTTTTCACTGAATGTTGTCACCACATGTGTTCTTTGCACCTGGAATGCATTTATTGACAGCTTACCCAATCCACTGAGGATTTCATAAAATTTTTAATTTTTCAAAATTTTTTGTCAAAAAATACTCTAAAATGGCCAAACAATTTTTCATGATATTTCTGGAAGAGCAGACCCTCCAATTATTGGTCCTTAGGGTCACAGTTAACAAAAAAAAAAAAACACAAATGAAATGTATGTATGAAATATAACTCATTTTATTGAGCTTTTGAGACTTTGGCTCCCCAACTATTATATGTCCAACCTGGTCAGAACTGATATCTGGAGGCTGATATCTCACAGACAGTGGTCAGGGAGCGCTTAGACATGTTTTGGGTTAATGATGCCCTGTGTTTTTTTATTGCTAAGCTTAAACCCATCACAAGTTGGACCTGTCCATTGGTACTGCAGTTAAACAAAAAAAAAAAAACTCCCAGAAAGCTCAGAGTCTAGTGTGATCGTGCAATCAACACTTCTATTTATCAGGGACACATGAGGTTACGAGTTTGGATACAGACAGGGCTGTAGCACTGGGCCTGGGTACAAATCATTTTGGTGGGCGGGCACTAAAGTTTTCTCATGAAAAATGCATATTACAGACTTTGTGAGGGTCCCATCCCTGGACCCTTGGATTCAGACCATGCCTGTCCCTGATTCTACTGAAAATGGGGAGATTCACTAGTGATCAGACTCACTAGAGATATTCTCATTAAACTCACTAGTCTAAGGCAACTGATGAACCTGACAGATCGAACGCTTTTCACTTCACCAAAGCAACGGAAACAAGATGGAAATTGCATAAAACTGCACCTGGAGGTTATGTACTATTGTACTACGTCTCTATTCTCCTTAAAACTGCAGATCTCTCAACACTTTTTGCTTGATAATTATTTAGTAAAGACAAAGAGCTGACTGACCTTTAACCCTTTGTCTCCCAGGGCAGTGACGATGGAGATGTGGACAAGAACAAGTGCTGTACTCTGTGTAACATGTCCTTCACATCAGCTGTGGTGGCCCAGTCGCACTACCAGGGCAAGATCCACGCTAAGAGGCTAAAGCTGCTACTGGGAGAGCAGCCCACCATCACCAACAAAGGTAAGAGCACGGCCTCATGGGAGATGGAGTACTGTGAGAGTGACCTCAGATGGCCTTTGTGTTGAATGAGTTTTTGTGAGTGAAATGGAGGCTCTGTTGAATGGTTTGTTTCAGTCAGCAGTAAAGTGTGACATATTTACACATACAGTGAAAAGATGTGGTGCTGGCCTTGTCAGAAACATACACTCTTGTGATTTTTGTGAGTTTACAGTCTGTCTTGTTCAGCTCCAGATGAAGTGTTTGCATGTGATAGTTCTGAAACGGACCAATCACAGGACACCGCTGTGTTTTGGGTGGAGCCTGCGTCAAATGAACCAAAACAAACATGGCAACGCCGACAGATACAGATGTACTTCAGACTATTTGAAAAACATATACTTTAGTCTAGCACTCGTATTACCACATGACATCACAAAGTGGAACATAAAAACAAGTGTTTTCTGTTTGAAAGGAGAATTCTGCCTGAATGTGCAGGATTTGTGTGTCAAACATGTGTGAATGAAACAAAACACAAGTCCAGGTGTGTTTGTGATCAGATGTGTCCTCTTTAACTGACAGAACAGACTCAGTGTTTGTGATTGACACTTGGGCTTCTTCTGTCTGTGTCAGGGGAGGAGGAGCTTTAGGTGGGCAGGTAATATTTGAGCAACATTTAACAAGTTTGGGCAGTTTTTGTTTTCACACCAATCAACACGATACACAATAACACAATAACACAATACATCGATAACACGATAACACAATAACACAATACACATCGATAACACGATAACACGATAACACAATACAACGATAACACAATAACACAATAACACAATACACAATAACACATGATAACACAATAACACAATAACATGATAACACAATAACACAATAACACAATAACACAATAACACAATACAACGATAACACGATAACACAATACACCGATAACACAATAACACAATACAACGATACACAATAACACAATAACACAATACAACGATAACACAATAACACGATAACACAATACAACGATAACACAACGATAAACACGAATAACACAATACAACGATAAACAATACACAATAACACGATAACACACAATACAAACGATAACACAATAACACAATACACACAATAACACAATACAACAATAACACAATAACACAATACAACGATAACACGATGACACGATAACACAATACAACGATAACACAATAACACGATAACACAATAACACGATAACACAATACAACGATAACACAATACGATAACGATAACACAATACAATGATAACACAATAAACATACACAATAACACAATACAACGATAACACAATAACACAATAACACAATACAACGATAACACAATAACACAATACAATGATAACACAATAACACAATACAACGATAACACATAACACGATAACACAATAACACAATACAACGATAACACAATAACACAATACAACGATAACACGAATAACACAATACAATGATAACACACAATAACACAATAACAACACGATAACACAATAACACAATAACACAATACATCGATAACACAATAACACGATAACACAATAATGCAATAACACAATTACGCAATAACACGATAACACAATACAACGATAACACGATGACACAATAACACAATACAATGATAACACAATACAATGATAACACAATACAATGATAACACAATACAATGATAACACAATACAATGATAACACAATACAATGATAATGCAATAACACGATAACGCGTAAACGATAACATGAGGAACCGTATGAGACTTTCACTCGTGTCCAGTGTTATGGAGGAGCTCTGGCCTGTGCACAAATGGTGGTGGATGGACGTCCTCTACGTTCACACGTCTCGGTGTTCATCTGTTGCAGAGGTTCAGTTCTTGGATGTGTGAGTCTCAGGTTCTGTGTGTGCAGTTGTTCTTGCAGCAGTCGAGGCTTTAGTCGACCATTGATGTTACTCATTTTCATATGTGATGAAAACACTGTTCTACGTTTGACCGAAGGTTTTACAGAACATGTTTTTTTCAGTGCTGGCGTTGTTTTTAAAAAGCCCATAGTCCATACACAACACTGAATGTACCTGAGCGGGCTGGAGCTTCATCTGGAGTCATGCTCCGTGGAGCTCGACTCACTGAAAGGGCGGCCATGTTTAGACCCCGGGACTTCCCTAACCCCCTGTACACACACTTTAGCCTGACACTATTTTGGACCTAATTATCTCCTACCTCCTGTCTCCTCTCTCTACCTCTTGCTCTCTCTTCTTTCTATCATCTGCCCCCTCGTTCTCTCTCTCTCTTTCTCCATCCTCTGCACTTTTTTTTTTAGTTTTGTCACTTCTTCTTTCTCTCTTCTCTCATTTTCAATGTTCAGTCTCCTTTATGTATCTCTCCCTATCACTCGTCTTTCCTTTCTCTCTCTCTTTCCTATTAGACCCCCCTATCCTCCCCCTCTCTCTTTTTATTACTCTGTTCTTTCTTCTCCCCTTTCTCCCCTCTTTCCTTTTCCTACTCTCCCCCTGTCCGCCTCTGTCTTAGCGGGAGCGTGTGGTCAGAGGAGGTGCTGGGCAGATGTTTGTGTTTCCTCTCTTTCTCTCTCCTCTCTTTCTTTCTCGGCGGTGTTTAGCAGGAGCAGCGGGAGCGTGTGGTCAGAGGAGGTGCTGGGCAGATGTTTGGACACACACAGGCTGTTCTGGCGCAGTAATGAGCCTGGGTCACTCCAGGAAACAACACTCATTTGTTTAGACCTAAAATGGCCTCCTCATTTACATTTACATCACTGGGAGAGTTTAGTGCGAGTTCATTTCATGTTTTTGTCTAGAATCTGCTAATGTTTCTGTGGTGGATTTGGAGTCTGTGTCCATGACTTGTTTATAAAATATTTTTTGTATACATTTGACCAAAAGGAAAATTCAGAAATATTAAAGAAGAAATACTGTCCTTGTATCTGTTGTTTAGAATCTGTCACATCTGTGCATTATTATGTTATAATTAGGGCCGGGCACGTTAATTTTGCATTAACTCATTAAAGGTTGTATAGAGGATTTTTTAAGGAAAGAGAAATACAGCAACAGTCCTTTTTCAGATGTTGTTCATGCGTGACACCACCTCCGTCCTCCACAGCTCCCTCAGTAGAAACACTTCCTCTCGCCTCCTTTACTCTCAAAATCACGTTTGTTTACAGCCGGTGCATGTTCAGAATTACTGTTGAAGTGACATGTCTAGAAATAATTTAGCGACTGACTCGTTAGTTTTTAGATCCTTCGTCTGCTTCAGTCGCGCCATTGCTATAAGAGGTCTCCAAGAACCACCTCAGTTTGTCTCCGCTCCTTTTCCCCTTCTCTTCTTCTTTCAGCGACCTCAAAAACTGACTTTCTTTAGCGCCGAACTGGTCGTGGATTCTCGTCCGTCATCGCGACAAACTTTGTGTGAACTGAGAGGAAGCGACAGTTTGAAAAAGCCTCTAAGAAGCGCTGCATAAACCACGTAATCCCCACGCGCTGGTGAATCAGTTACACTAGAAACATAGGGAGTTTGATTGACAACCCAACAGCCAATAGAAAATGAGGTAGCCTGGTTATCTATTGGCTGATGTTTATCTGGCCTTACTACATTCACAGTTGATAGATTTTCATTGTCATGGTCATCATAATTACAAGGCTGCTGCGTCTATGTAATGGTATTTTAAAGTTTTATTGACAATTTGAAACTAAAAAAAAAATTTCCATACAACCTTTAAGTCATTATCGCCAACAATTATTTTAACGCAGTTTTTATTATTTATTTATTATTTATTTTATTGTAAACGTCTGTTTCTCACTTGCTTTTATTTTGAAAAAGTCCACCGCGAGCGTTTCTTTAAGTTTGACATCTTTCTTTACACTTTTTTCACTTTTTTTCTGACCACGTGAGATGCAACGTGTCCGTGGCCAATGGGCTCTCGAGCTTCGGCCAATGGGCTCTGAGCTTCGGCAGGCTCCTAGCTCCGACCGGGCCGCGGACTCTTCCAGACGCTCCTGAGGCGTCCAAATCGAGGTGTCCAGTGCGGGTTTCGTAAAAGTTTCATTATTCTTATGGCATGTTAATTTTGCGTTAACTCATTAATTCATTATCGCCGACAATTATTTTAACAACGCAGTTTTTGTTATTGTTATTATTATTATTATTATTTTATTTTTATTTTTTATTTTTTTTTGCTGTTGCTCACTGGCTTTTATTTTGAAAAAGTCCACCTTGAGCGTTTCTTTAAGTTTGACGTCTTTTCTTTACACTTTTTTCACGTTTTTTCCTGGGCTCTGAGCTTCCGCGGGCTCCGGTTCAAGAGTTTCTCGTTCTTCTCCGTCCAAATCGAGGTGTCCAGTGCGGTTTTCGTCGCTGTGGTCTCGCTTACATAACACTATTACAGGGTATTCGCGAAGGTCCGGAAGATTTCATGATGTGATCCCGCCCATAATTCAGTGAAATCTGATTGGCTGAGACAACTGTCAATCTCAAACTTCGTTCCAGCCATCGAAAGCCCCCAAAAATCTGCACTTCCGATAAAACATTTTGTTGTTTTTACCCACAAGTGTTCTCATGTAAACAGGCCCTTAAAATGTAACGAGCTTCTAAAGTTCTAAAGGCAAGAAGTCCCTGCTCTGACTTCATTCTGATCGATTCAAAATCAATTCAAATGGTAATAGCCCAGTTTGATTTTCATTTTGTTGTATTTGAATGTGATCCCAGTTTGAGTAGTGAATGTACTTATTAAATATACGACTTCAAAAAACGTTTAGTCAAGTTCAGATGACTTGAATTAAGACAGTTTTTTCATGGTTTGACTAAATTTCACTTGACGGGTAAAATGCCAGTGGAATTAGAGTTTTTGTACTTAAAATATTACGATACATCTTGCTGCACTTAAAATAAGAAAAACAACAACTTTTTACACTTAAAATATGAAACCAAATCTGGATGTTGCTTGAATTAAGAAAAACACACTTATTTAATTAGT